TGCTGATTAACGCTATTCCCAAGAGGGCGCCAGCTGGATTAGAACGGTCTGTCGACTTCAAGGGCCGACAAATAATTTCGCGATTGTCGTGGGTTTGGGGTGGTGGGATGGTGGGGTGGTGGTGGTGAAGTAACATGACAGTGCAATGCGCTTACGTCATTGAACTTTAATGATTATCGTCACTTTGCTGACGAGCAGATATGCTTATGCTACGCTGTGGAGGCACGTGCCTTAAAAAAAAAAGGAATAGGAAAAAAAAGGCACGTTTTTGTCACACGTTTTTGTCTCGGTTTTCACTCCTTAAACTCGCACTATAGGCACATTTGTTTCCTCATCTCTTCCCCTTCATAACATTACAATATCAGATAACAATATTTACTCATATTTAATTCGATCGAACAATTTTTCTTTCTTTCATGTCAAATACGCAAATTTTATATTTTAATATATATGCACAATTAGGGGCGCGCTCGCGCGTAAATGGATATTTTGTTTAAGCAAACGATGATACAGAGACAAAATATTAAATTCTCAACTGACTCTTGTTTCACTTCGCATCATGTATCATAATATTTAACATTACAAATGTTGTCAAATACATTTCTATTCGCAAAAGCTCTTAGTCATTAATATCAAAGATAATGTAGTTTAGAGATGTATTTCACAAATGGTTATTTATAAATATTTAATTATAATTATCACTTTAATTAATTATTAACTTATTATATTAAAGCTTCACAAATTGATATTTTGTTAATACGAGAGATGAAAAATACGACAAATAGAAGAAGAATACTAAAAAAAATGCTAATGGCTGAAATATTAAACGTAAAATAGATTGTAAGACATATCAACATTATGATAATGGTGGTAATAATAATAAAAAAAAAATAAATAAATAATAATAATAATAATAGTAATAATAGTAGCAGTAGTAATAAGGATAAGAAGTATTGCCAAACGGGGGTAGCAATAATTTTTACGGGCAATTGGAAATAAACAACAGAGGACAAATAATATATAGTTGTACGAGGCAATTTTAACGGCTTGGTTGTCAATAAAATATTCTATGCCTTTTATAACATTATTATTATAATTCAATTTGTTAATAAATTGTTCCTTAATAATTATTTAGTAATAATTTTTATTCGCAAGTCCTTTTATCTTCGTGACAAAGGCAACATCCCTCATCGAGTCGCAGCTAAGTGGAGAATCGAAAAGCATAGCTTCCACTGCCCTCCCTCTACAAAAGTATCATCATTCTAAAGATTCGCCCCCCCCCCCGGCCAACCAACACTGCGAAGCTACAAGTATTCCATTCCCAATACGATACGTCAATTCATACAATTGGAGATTTAACGCTTATGAGAATCGAGGTGCAATGATTC